AAATCCACTTATTGCACCCCTCTATAGGGCACCTGCGCCTCAGCAGGTACCCTTTTGAAGGTCCATATAATAAGGACTATAGTATATTGGGGTCTATATTGGGGTCCTTCATTTTGGGAAACTACCATATTGCCAATGCCCAAGGATTCCAGCACATGCGGCTATCAGATTTGAGCTTAAGTATCGAATGTGTACCAGGTCCAGGTCAATTCAGGCTTTAAGGTCAGTCTAGGGTTGGGGATTATGAGCATGGCGCCGGATGTTTCGTCGCAAGCTAGCCTCAGAAGCTTTGAAAGATCTACTCTATCAGGGCCTAAGTCCCCATCATTAGGGGCCATCCATCCCTAAACCCTAATCCCTAAACCCCACAAAGGGTACGAGGAAGGTCTTGGTGATTTCCCTTATAGTCATTTCCATTTTCTTTTCCATTATCCCTATATAGTCTAAACCAGTTAAAGGGTACCACTAAATCCTAAACCCTAATTTAAACCCTCAATAAACCCTAAACCCCTAAACCCTAAACCCCTAAACCCTAAACCCCTTAACCCTGAGAGCTTCACCATGGACCATTGGTTCTCCGATGGCTGCATGGAGTGCCCCTGGCAGGGGGGCCACTTCAGTGACGTTCCCTAGGATTTGGGTCTTGGGGTTTAGGGTTTAGGGTGATAACTCCCTAGGATTTGGGTCTTGGGGTTAAGGGTTTACGGTGGCAACTTCCTAGGATTTGGGTCTTAGGACTTAGGATTTAGAGTTTAGGGTTTGTGGTCTTAGGGTTTAGGCTGATAACTGTGAGAACTCAATCCTGCAGTAGCCACAGCCTCTCAAGGAGTTGGTCCTAACCCCAACCTTTCGCTCAACCTGAAGTTTAAAACCTAGCAGAGCTAGCAACCCCGTCATTTGGTAGTTGCCCAAAATATGGGGACCCCAATATAGAACCCAAAATACTACAGTCCTTACTATAAGGACCCCCAAAAAGGGTACCCCTAATTTTGGGAAACCCCCATTTAGTGCCTCACTTGAAAACCTTCAACAGAAGCCGCGGTCCTGCGGGCAATGCGCGTACACGACTGCCTTGCGCCTGAGGATGTTCTGGATGCCGGGATCGATCCTCCTTGGCTTCAGCTTTTAAGACGAGTTCCGCTTCTACAAACTCACAGCCCTAGAACCTAAACCCTAGATAACCCATTATAGTAGTTTCCATTTTATTTTCCATTATTACTATATCACCAACTATAGTAGTTTCAATGGCCAGCTTGATTGACCAACAAAGCACGAGCTTTTGGCAGCCCAGAGTCCCCAGACCAGCTCGAAGCAACGCACCAAGGCCTTGGTCTCTCAATTTCTTGGGCTCATCTGTGTAGATTTTTTGGTGCTTGAACCTAGTAAGATAATATTCCTGTATATAAAATACTATACCCAAAAGGAGCATATAATCTTACTCTATATTGGGTACCATAGTATCCCCAAATAAAATAACACTCATCTTGCCGGCCATTGAAGCAGGAGCTGTGTGCCAGACCCGCTGAGATCGCTCCCTGGCAGTTGTTGAGGGACAAGGGCGATCCTAGTCAGCGGAAAGGCAAACAAAGACTCCGAAAGCAGCACCAAATAGTGAACGGTAGGGTGCTGGCCGCATGTCTCATGTGGCCGCAGAGACGTCAGAGGCACCTGCTCTATGAGATTCGGATACTGATATCTTCTTTGGGCTGCAAAGAGATCAGGAACAAGCAACTTGCTAAGCAGCACGCGGACTTGCGATGCTCAAGGTGCCAATCCCAGAAATTGTCGGCGAGAATACAAAGTTTCTGTCCTCGGAGGACAAATCTCAACTCCTAAATATAGATATACATATATATATATATATCCTACTATAGTGTAGTCGTTCCCATTTTCTCTTCCACTGTCCCTATATAACCCCAACCCTTAACCCTCAATCCTAAACCCTATAAGACCCCATTAGAATAGTTCTCATTTTCTTTTCCATTATCCCTATATAAACCCTATGTATTCCTTATTCCCTAAACCCTGAACCCTAAACCTTAAACCCTAAACCCTAAACCCTAAACCCTATTGCCTAGACCGTTGCGTGCGCCCCACGTTGATTTAGCATGCTCGGTCTCCCTGCGGAGCTTCCCCTCACCCATGGCGCCACCGGCCAGGGGAACGCTTCCTCAGCATTAATGGCTATATAGGGATTACATAGGGATTACATAGGGATTACATGGGGTTATATGTGGAAAAGAAGATGGAAACTACTTGGATACATTGGGTACCTTTCATAGGGGTTATGTAGGGGATAATGGGAAAGAAAATGGAAGCTACTACAGAATATAGGGTTTAGGGTACAGGGGTATATAGGATCTAGGTTGAGTAGATGTTTGGGGTGACCCACACTCAACAAGAGCCTTTTCAGGATTTCAACAACATGTGAGCTGCGGTACAGGCCTTTGTGATTTTAGGGGCTGCCTGCCCGAACCTCCAACTGCTATAAAGCCTAAGTCCATATGACTGACTTTTGGCCTTCGCAAAGTTAACTTGGTAGCGTTTTTCGGTGGTTGAACCTAAGTAAGATCATATTCCTTGTGTAAAATACTATGCCCCCCAACAATATAATCTTACTCTATATTGGGGGCCATAGTACTGCCAAATAAAATACTACTCAACTGTCTTTGTAGGGAACTCTGTCATCTGAGGTTGCCGCTGGCAGAATCGAAGTAGCACACGTCGCAAACTCCGCCGAAGGCATCCACGCTGGACACCTGATGTGCCATAATGATGTTGCTTGCAAAGCTACCGTTGTGGAACTGCAATGCTACAGCCGGAAAGCATGATCAACGGCCAAAATCAGTAGGGTTGTACAGTATCCCAATCATGGAGAATTAAATGGATGATAAAATGAAAAATGAAATAAAACTGTGGTTACATAATGGTCGGAGCTTCCATTGTGTTTTCCCTTCCCCTATATATCCCTATATTATGGGAACTATGGGGGGTTAAACCGTAGTTTCCCTCAATGGGGGAACCCTACTATAGACCCCAAAATACTGTATGTAATCCTCATTATTGGGACCCCCACTTGTACCCCCCAATTTTGGGAAACCCCAACCCCTAAATAGTAATGTCCATTGTCTTTTCCATTATACCTAGACAACCCCCTATATAATCCCTATATAATCCCTTTAACCCTACATAATCCCTTTCTCATCCCTCTATATCCCTTATAAACCCCCAAAAAGCGATCAAAAAGCTTCTTGGCTTGGCCTGCGCCAGCTTGACTTTCTGGCCGTCTGGGGGCACATAAACGCCAAGGTCGCCTGCTAGGGTTTAGGATTTACGGAGGGTTTAGGGTTTAGGGTCGCATCGGGCTACTGACGAATGCGGACGACGCTACGAGCCGCTCTTTAGGATGCGAAGGTTCACCCGTATAACCTCCATGCATACGCCATGATAGTAGCTTCCATAATCTTCTCCCATACCCTCAGGTATCCTCATTATATCCAAATACAACTATACTTCCTAAACCCTAAAGCAGTTGCCATTCCATGTTCCAGGTTCTTCTCCATGTGATCCCTTCACATGTAACACCATTTAATCCCTATATATGGTAGAGCGCAGATTTCATTATCCCTATACAATCCAAGCCCTTGCAAAGCTACTAAGCAGTTTCAGTCTGGGCCCTGCATACGCCATATTATCTATGTATATACATATAATCTATATGTATACACATGTGTATATATATATATACACATATTTCCATGCAATTTTCCATTTGTCCATTTGCTGCTCCATCCTTCTGTGGGTTTGAGTATATAACCCCTTTATATACTAGTTTCCATGGGAGTTTCCATTCCTCCTCCGAGAGCTACTAACCCCAGGCCATAAACGCTAAACCCTACATCCATTCTCCTTTAACCCTAGCCCTAAACCCTAGATCCTATATCCATCATCCCTATACAAGCCCTATATGAACTATAGTCCAATCTCCTAGCATCCCCTTAGCACCCCCTATAATACTTCCCAAGAGAATCCCGCATAGAACCACCCTTAAGGAGTTTAGACTACAGTTTATATGGCCAAGATTCAACCCTGTTTATTCCTAAACCCTAGACCCTAAACCCTATATCCATTATCCCTATACAAGCCCTAAACCCTAAACCCTAACTCCCCAACCCTAAACCCTAAATCCTGTTTCACGCCTGGCCATAGCCTCGCCCTCCACTCTCCCGTCAGGTCGTCGATCTCCGAGCTTTGATCGGCACCCTTGGCCTGGCATGCACACGGGATTTAGGGTTTAGGGTATAGGGTTTAGGGGTTTAGGGTTTAGGGGGTTTTGGCGTTTAGGATTTAGGGTTTAGGATTTAGGGTTTAGGGCTTAGGAGTTGGGAACGTGGAGATTACGTAGGGGTAAGGTAGGGGCTTTATAGGGATAATGGAAGAACAGGAAAGCTACTGTTTAGGGTTTTGGGTTATGTAGGGATATCACCCCTATCATGGACAATCAAGTTTCAAGGCATAGGGAAAATCAAATGGAAACTGACTTTCAACAGGGCTTATCTAACTAGAGAGCGAGAGAGAGAGCAAGAGAGAGAGAGAGAGAGATAATTATGTATATATATATATATGCTACCCCCCCATGTACCTACTGTACCTGTTTTGCTAAACCTTAGGGATATATATATATATATGTATAAGAAAGAGTGGGGATGATGGGGGATTCACAGCCAACACCTCGAGGCAGGCTCTTTTGACAAGGAAGGCGAGGAACTCCGCTGTACCACCCTCACTTTTTACTGGGGGTTAGTAGGGAAGAAGATCATAAGCTAAATTAAGGATTATAGTAGCAAGTACATCCCCATATTCCCCACTTACCACCAGCAAGTCTTGAATCAAGATGCTGCGGCGGAATGTCAGGCTTGAAGGTTAAGGAACAGCCACTTCCGCGTTTCGAAGCAATGTCAAACAGTGTGCCCGTGAGCCTGGCAGTTCTCATGCCATTCTCAACCTTTTTTGTCCACAACAACTGGCATCTTGCAACGCCACATCTCCCACAAAGGTTGCTCAAGGACCAGCCGCATCATGAGGTTAGCAACGTTGGCTTTGGACGTCCCGATAGGCGAGAAGACGCCGTTCTGCAAGGTCTCGTGCACCAAATAATCTGAAACAGGATGAGTGTCTGACAGGCTGTCTGGCCGCACGATGCAGTACTCAATTTTGGGATGCTCCTGACCGATGTCCTCTATGAGATAGTGAGCAGTCTTGGTATTGTCGACCATGGGAGGCAAGGCCCAGTGCAAAGCGCTTACAAGCATCCGGGAAGCCCAACCATGCTGCGCTGAGTCGTTGGGATCATTTGGGTTGGTCACTAAGACAGTGTTCAGAAGCACAAACTTGGATTTCTGGCTCTCATCATCATGAGTCCTACCAAGTGCCTGGCAAACACGCCTGGTGGTTTGGAGCACTAGGTCCCTTGGCTCGTCATAGACGCCTACATGACCTAGGCAGGACACAACAGCAGCGCAGCCGCGGACATGGGTGTCCAGGTCCTCGTCGGTAAGGTCCGTCACACCAGGAATTTGAACAAGGGAGATATTTGCATCCTGCTTTGTCTCATCTGGAAGTTTGTCTGGTGAGCGAAGGACCGCCCGCACAGGTGTGCCCTTTGCGAGCAGCTGCTTCACCAAATGGAGGCCGATTCCACCAGTTGCACCCAGCACAAGCACTGGCCGACTGCCAGCAGCCATGTCGCCTGGTTTGCTTCACAGGGCAGCGGATCCTCGATGTTTTGCAGGAATTGTTCTGCAGCTAGCTTGATGCCTGCTGGTGTCCTGGCACTGCGCAAGTTCTGTTCCTGTAGAGCCTCGAAGCTGCAGTTCATGCAGTGAGGGTGACCAGAGCAACACTAGCACAAGCCAACATGCGAAGGACTTTCGCAAAGGATACCGATCATCTGTACCTGGCCAAAAACTATCAAGAATACTCGGAGGACAAAGGAGACTTGAGTTTTCCCAGAACTGCAATGGCCTTGCGCTAGGATGGCATATAGAGAGGAAGCTCTTGTGTGTTGTGCGGTTAATGGCAACGTATGCTTGCCACAAGAAATTACCAACTCGAAATCTCTTCTTGGAAACAGCTTCCACTACCATCCATACGACTGCCTTGCTTCAAGAAACCAACCACCAAGCAAGGCACACCGTGGAAAGCACTACCATGATCTTCTCAAAACAGCTGGAAGCCTGAACTCCTCACTAGATCTACATCTATTTAATCTGTACCCCATACACTCCTGTATAACCCTATATACCCCGACATAACCACATATTCTACCCCTACATAGCCCTGTATGGTAGTTTCCCAATAGGGGAACGCAATATAAACCTCAATATACCATAGTCCTCATTATAGCAACCCTAAAATTCAAAATGGCACCCCTTTTTTCTTGGAAACCCTAAACCCTATCCCCCTATATGACCCCTATAAACCCCTTAAAAGGTACCCCTAATTTCGGGAGACCTCCACATATCCACCCTAAACCCCAAATCCTAAACCCTAAGCCCTAAACCCCAAATCCTAAACCGTAAGCCCATATACCCCAGTTTAAAGCTCTTTCCTGGCCCGCCCTTTGGCCTCGAAGCCACCAAGCCACGAGTTTAGGATCCTTGCTGGGACCAAAGGACGAATGACTTCGTATAAATGTGGCGGTTATATATGTGTATATATACATGTAGGGTCTGGGCTTAGGGTCAAGGGTTTGGCGTTTGGGGTTTAGGGTTTAGCTGGGACAAGCGGGGTAATCCGCCGACCTTGGGGGGCGTGTTGGATGGTTTCAGACGGAGAAGGTGAAAACCTTCTTTTTCTCCCTTACGGGGGGGGGGGTAGAGGGCGGGGTACCCTGGCTGCGTGTCCCTCCAGGCCCCACCTCCACGGCAGCCATTTCAGCCTACTCCCACCCATTCTCCAGGCTCCCTCCAGTAGATTTTGCAACAGCGGAGTTTTTTTTGGTGTGCTGCTCCGTATGTTCTGGTCATTTTACTCTCCGTGATGTATTGCCGACGCCATCTCCTGCGAGCTCTTCGAGCAAACGCGTGCTCAGGCGGGAACCCGTTTTGCGCCTGTGCGTCCGGCGATACCCAATACACGCGCATGCCGCGCGCATGCGTTCGCGCGCGCGTGGGCAAAACACTGACGTCTGAGCGGTTCGGCGTCCTGTCAACGCTGCTCATGCCACGTTGCGTTGCTCCACTTGCCGCGAGGCGTGGTCCGTTTGCGTCGTCGGTTTGATACGCCGCGTCCGTCCCTTCTCCGCCTCTGGGGTCGGCGGACTGAGCCAGAGGCTCTTGAGTCCGGCCTGGCCGTCGCGGTCCAGTGCGGATGCACGCCTAGCTAAGCTATGCTTCATGCTTATTAAGGGGCTGCGCCCGAGCGGGCAACGCAGGCAGCATGGGAGTGATTCAGTGCTCAACCGATTTTCTTGGGTTCCCTCCCAAAACACCCAAAAATGACCACATCTGGCCCAAACCCAGGTTCTCGGGCCCAGAATCTGGGTTTGGACCAGATGTGGTCGCTTTTGAAGCTTGTCGTCGTCGTATAGTAATAATAGTAGTAGCAGCAGTAGTAGTGGCAGCAGTACCTAGTAGTAGTGTTGTGTTGTGTTGTGGTAGTAGGTGGGATCACTTTTGGAATGAAACCCTTCCAAGAACACTTTAAAATGAACACATCTGGCCCAAA